GAGCGGGCACGACCTTGTCGCGGCTGGACCGGACTGTGTGCCGGGGGTCTGATGGCCTCTCAAACCCCAGCACGGACCCCTCCGCTCTGGGGGACCTGCTTCCGAGACAGACAGACAGAGAATTCCGTCACCGCCGCCACCGCCTCCGGCGCCTTAGTGGGACAGCGCCTGACCCGAGACTTCCTCTTGCCCTGGGACCACTAGGTTCCAGGTCGGGCCCATCTTGGACCCGGGTGCTCTGCTCGGCCACTGCACTACTGACTGAATCCTCTACTGGCCTGCGCCCAGGCCTTGGCCTCTCGGGTCGGGCTCGGGAAGCAACCAACTGTGGCTCTCTGGCATCCCATCCCACCGGCGACACGCGCAGCCACACATATGGACACGTCTCAGCCCTGCAGGCCAAAACTTCACGTCGAGTCACACTCTTGCGTGCCCAAGTGCAACAAGCACTTAGTGGGGCCTCCATTTACATGCCATCCCATAGGGCAACACTGTTCAGTAAGAGTTCCTGCCTATAGAGACACATCCTCACTCATGCTTGAATGAGCTTTTATTGTTCAGGCCCTCTCGTGGGTGACCACACACACACCCATACAAGCACCTTATAGCCCTCCCTCAAACATGCAATGATATATGTATGCGGCTACACAGGCAAACATGCTCACAATTCGGGGTGCATGAACACATGCAGACTCTTATGTACTTACTCACCTATGCACATTCCCAAAGTTAACACACTCAGGCAGGCAGGCAGGGAGACCCACAGGTTCGCCCTTGAGCACACACTGCCCATGCCTGCGACTCTCATAGCCACAACCACCAGCATGTCCCAGCGCTGGAGAGCACCACTGTATGTGGATTCACACTCATGTACGTTCACACACTATGGCCACACAGAGGTGTGGTTTCTCGAGCCAGAATGAAGATGTGCCAGAGTGGGGGTTGTTGACTGAGTGACACTTGTATCATCTGACTTTGATTTTTTCGTATGGAAATTGACCCTACAGAAATACAGGAAGTGAGCCTTTGGAGCATCTGTACTCATATATTTGTAGGTGTGTTTTAAATATTTTAAAACGTGTGTAATTTCATAGGTCACATCTAGATTATTGACTCCTGAAATACATAATGCTTGATTCTGAATACTCCTGAGCGTAGTTCTGAATGCTGAGTACTTTAACGGGAGTTCTGGATTCCGGTAAAGGAGAGAAATGATCCTGTGTCTCTATAGTCCAGGTTATTTTGCTGAATTCTGAGTACTCTTTAGGGGCCCATGGATTTTATTAAACTGCTGCTACAGATGTGTTCCTAGTGCTTGATGCTGAGTACTCCAGAGGTTGGTACTGCATGTTGCATACTCCAGTATGTGGTATTGAGTTTGGAATACTCCTAAGGAGCCCTACTGTGGCCCTTTGAAGTCCTGGAGGGTCATGTGATCACACCTTTGTTGTCTCCTGAATCCTGTTCTCAGTTTGGTCTG